ATGCTGACGTTCTTAATCGTTGTTTACTATACTTACATGAAAATACAAAGCAGTTCACATAATATGGAAGTAGAGATTATAACATAAATCATTCACATGAACAGTCCCATGTTAATGTTAGTGTTTGACATGATACATAGCTACAGTAACAGGTTGCTCGTAAATACTGCAACATGGTGTTGAGTGACAACTAGTAAATGTGCACTATAAAATAGCCAAGGCTGAATAACGATGGTTATCTTTATTTAGCGTATAGTAGTTTGTTTTTATTTAGTTGAGCAGGATAAGCTTTTTGGAATCGTGGCTTAGGTTAATTGAAGTGCGTTGTTGATGTTTATTTAATGTTATAGTTATAATTTAATTTTTTGACCTCATGACCGTCTTCATAATATTACTGTACAGTGTCTGTTTCATGTTGAAACAATGCTGTGAAAATGCTGTTTCACGTGATATTATTTTGTTTTAACTCTAGTAACTAAATTACTAATAAATTAAATTTATTATAAATAATTATGAATTGTATCTTAACTTTTTTACAAAATTTATTAAAAATAAACAACTAAAATATGAGATAGAAATATTGATTTAAATAGCTTTTAATCCATTAACCACCTATTGAATCACACAATTCGTAAAGCGTTTTATGATTACAATTATAATTAATACCTCAATAAAGCGTTCTGTGCACACTTTCAAACCAATAACCATGATTAATGCTCTACCAGCGGATTTGGGAGAACATGAAAGAGTTTTAAAATCAAACTATCGGGAAAAGTTACATTTTGTGATTTCATGTTTAAATGCTTTGTGGTCTTGTATGAGCCACTTAGAGTCTAATAGTGACATTTTGGTTTAGATAACCTGAAAAATAGTTGTATAGTTCGCACACTCCTCACGGATTACGTAGGTCACCACGAAAAATGTTTGATAATAGTTTTATGAATAATTATTTAAATAACTTCTTGATGAGCATTGTACGTGTTATTAAATTTACGGAAAGTAAATAAAAGAAACGTCTTATAACACTTAAAACATATATTTACGCTTATACTGTTACTCACAAGACGGTAAATATACAAAAAAGATGGTAAGTGGTGATCGATTTCGATTGGACACTCCAATCATCATCAGACCCAATAGGCGAATAATTATTTTTGAAGCACAGTTGTTTATAGTCAGCTTTAAATATTACACGCTGCGTACAAAAATATAAATCATAGCTTATTATTTGTGTGAATTTTACTACATTTACACGAAGTATTACTAAAGGAATATCGTATACCAGCAACGTATGACTGCATTCATCGGACATTTGGAAAGAAATATAGAATAAAGTTTATATCTGGATAATGCAATATGACTGGTGGCTGGTTTGGATATTTTTGGAGTATTCATCATCTAAATAAAATGTTGGTAAGAATTATATTTTATTAATAAATGTATTAAAAGTAAGTATTAAAATATAAAATAAAATATATGACAAAAAAGTCTTTATTACTTTTTTCAGCCATTTTTGTATTGTTTTTATTGAAAAATATGTTTTGGACATAAAAAAAAAACTATTTAAGAACAATTTAGCTAAATACTTGTAAAGCATTTTAAAATAGTTTGTCGTTTCTTACGAAACGTCCTTATAATCCTACTATTCCTATTGTACTTAACTTTTGCTTTAAAGTTAAAAAAAAGTGTTAGCAAGGGAACAAATCTTAGTGATACGAATCCAGTAGTCAGTAATTCGCTCCATTCTAAGCGGCTAGTTTGATTAACTTACAACTTGGTCATCTAGGAATTAGGTAGACGTTTACTTACATTAACACAGGTCCTAAACAATCATGACCAATAGAAACCAGAGTAACATTATACAAGTTTGCTTTTAGTCGTAGTCACATGCTCACCCGTATTTTTAAAAGCAGTTGTGCACCATTGGTCACTTTCACCTTGCTTTAAGATAGACGTAATCAATCACTTGAGAAAGTTATACAGCCACAGATAACAAAACTTTCTTATCCGGATCAAGTAATTAAACCCAATTTGAATAACGGTATGGTTTAAATATTTTTAATACGGTATCTCTTCCATTGAAGTAGGTTGTACGCTGACACCAACTTTCCTTCATTACAATGACGTTTAACAATGTTAAGACACAGAGAAGAAACAAACTTTATCAGTCTTAATGTGATCAGTAACATAAAAATATAATAACGAACAAACGTATCTTATATGAGAGTATTGGAAATATCTATGTATCTGGCTTCCATCCGTCTGTTACTGTATTCAATAATTGGATTACGTATCCCCAGCAGACATGCGGTAGGGCCTGACAATATTATTGTACAATTATGGTCCTTGTAAATGTTTATTCCACATCACCACAATCAACAGAGAAAACTAAATGTGTATTGGTTATTCAAATACTATATAAGTAAGAGTAACAAGTTCTTAAAAGAATTTATATGTCGTAAGAAAAGTGTAATATAGGAATTCACTTCTCAATACATTCATTAATAGTATTTTTTTTTTATTTTAACATGTAGTTTATCCGTTATTGAATATGTATTAATACAGATCGTAAGAAAATATTTTCCCTAAATAGTTTGTACAAAAACGTTTCGTAATAATCAAATTCCAATAATAAATAAATATAGGTAAATAAATTTAAAATTTACAGTCGACAAATATCAAATATGTAAAACGTCATAGATGAAAGGAATTCAATTTATTCTAATTGTTTATGATACAATTTTCGTTTGATATAATATTACGTGATTTTAACTGGATTGTTTAAAAAGATTTTACAATCAAAATATTAATTCCGAATTAGTATGAGGCAAAAAGCAAAGAACTTTTTGTAGTTTTGTCATAATTTCGTTTAATTAATATAAATAAAACATAATATCTGGTTTTAGGTTTTTAAATAGCATATCTTGTTTTGCGGTAGAAACGCTGTGTTTAATCAATTCTTATATCTGCTGTAATTTGAATTAGAACACAAATAAAAACGCATTCATTAGAACTGACAATTACATAGTGTCAGAAATGTAAATCATTTCCAAAACTGAGAGTAACGAAACAAGACTTTACACGTTGCCAGTGATTGTGGCATTTAAGCCGAAGTCAGTGTATTCATTTATTGATTACTCAGTTAGAGACAGATATAAGACAAATTTAACTTTTGTTGGATTAGAGGGAAGTTGTAATGTTTAAAGTCGATTACCACAAAATCAAAAGAAACAGGTTTTTAAAAAGTAGTCAAATTAACACTAATGTAGTAAAAAAACTATTTAAGGTGAGATTGTAGCAATTTGAAGTTTCTTGCCAAATAAGACAAATACAAGCATACCGTTTAATCTTAAATAAAAGAAATAAATTTTCTTTTCCGAATTCGATTGGCTATTCAGCCCGACTGATTTTCATGATTGAGATGTCAAATTAAAGGTATAAACTCACAGATTTCACATTAAGCATCGGCATACATTTATCTGCCGTATTACTCGACCAAAAAACATAAACTTTCTAATTCTTACTTAAATTTAAGATGCATTTCGCTAGTTATAATTATACAATCCTATATATTTTGGGATAAGAACCTTCAGTGAAATACTGGCTTTCACTTAAGCTATTAGTTATTCAAATCGGACTACTTTCAAGCAAACGCAAGGTGAACAACCAACATAAACATTATTTATATAATGTTTTTCTATGTTCAAAACCAATAGCTCAAGATTGTTCTTGTTTTTATGTGTTTAGACTCAAAATAATTTAGTAAATTATAGACTTTAAATTGAGCTATTGATCGTTTGAATCAGTTAAGTTCGAGATACTGTATAATCAATCAAAAATCATAAATTTACTTCTTCGTCGTATATGACATTTATTTCAACGCTGCTGAGCTGTATGGGTCTTGTATGGAATTCAATTCAACCCTCTCCGTAAAATTTATCTTAAGAAAATTTATTTTTTATTCGTGTCTTTTTTATTGTGTTTTATTAAAACTAACTCCTATTGTGTATGTACATTAACCCCAATTAATTTGGTGAAACTGTGCAGATACAAATCTGTATAATTTGGACATCTTCTCTACGGAACTACAAAGAAACCAAATCGTATGGCCATAAACTATGGCCATTATAGTTATATTGTCTGTGGCCATACTGTACTAGTATATCATCTCCAACCTAAGAAGTGATTTTTGTGGTAATATAAATGGGTAATATAATTAGTGTAAAAACCAAAGTCCATGACATTTTTGTACTCGATATTCCCCTCATACAGTCCACTTAATTAAAGTAAAAACTTTCTTAGGCTTACGCAACACAACATTTCTAGAATTATTTTTTCATGCGGATACATTAACACAATAAAAATGAGTCAGTCGTTGTTTTGTTTAAAAAAAGCTCTACACAATCTAGCTTAAGTACTTTAAAAATACAGTTTTGCAATTTTTTTAATAACCTTTCGATTAGTTATCAGTTGTTACTTGTACCAACTTCAGTTGTGATCATGTTCATGGTCGGACTAATTCAATTTTAAAATTAACGGTTCTTCGAAGTGTTTTATGGACCAGATTTTGCTGTCGTCAATTTTTTTAATATGATTTTATAAACCGTATATAGCCTATATAAATTGCTTGGCAAATATTTAGAATTTGAAATTTTATTAATTAATAGGCCTTAATCACTATCTGTTGTACTCGTGCTTTGCAACGGAAAGAGAACAAAAAATAGAAACATCTGTTGATAAAATAGTTACACATAAGCCTTTTACCATGCCTCCACCTCCGTCACCACCGGGCGTCAGGTCGAGGAAGGCAAAGACCCACAAGAAGTTCAGTTATGGTTATTTACTATGGACCATTTTGTAACAGTTTAGAGCTATCATTATAAGTGTTTAGGCAATAGGACAGGTTTATGACATGTAGCTAGAATTGGCAAGCTCGGTATTGTGTTATGAGTAAGTATAAGCGTTGCTACTGCATAGCACTTGGTATCAGGTTCGATGAAATGGTAGGCAACCTGTTGGGAGCTAATGAGTCAGTTAGTCAAGGTGAAGTGCTAGAGGGCCTGAGTATATGTGGGTTAGTATGTCAGTGCATTAGGGTTAACAAAAGGAAAAGTAACAGCTATAAACAGGCATTATAAGCTTGAAATATTTTACACTGTTAGTACTGTTTGTTGAAGGACAGGAGAAAAGTTGCACACACATGTAGCTAGCCAGTAGTGAAAGAATCCTGAATTGATCAGACTACTTTCTAAAATCTTACTCTACTCTGTTGGACAAAGACCAAGGAATGTTTGTCACATCACTTCAAGCTGGGTCAACAGGTGACCTAAGCCCTTGGAGATGTTTTTCTTTCAATTTATTTACCACATAGACCACATTTTGGTCAATGTTGAGTTTCTGGGCGTGCATATTACCTGAATGAATTGTGGCAGTTATCATCGGATTATGTCTACTGACTGCAGTCCTACATACTTTTGAGCCTCAAATGCGTACGAGTGCTCTTCAGTTCTTCCTGATCCTGCCCAGTAGATGCCGATATAGGTAATCTAAACACAAGCCTTGACAGTCCGGTATATTAATATTTGTAAAATGCTATTCTGCTGATATTTTTTTACGATTGAAGGTGGTGTTGGCGGTGACGCCTGAAGACTTGGAAGGCCGAGTGCGAAACCCAGACAACCAGGGACGTCCACCACCTTACCATGAGTCTGTGAGTATTGTACTATGCGCTTAACATAAAATTGTAAATACTTATAGAAACAAACACACGTGCTTTAACAACATCAATGACGGTATTTGGGAGTTGACAGCTGGTCTGACTATTTACTATTTAACTAAATACATTTAACATAATAGGTAACAGGTTATGCATTAGATATTGTATGGATGATAGTAGATATAATCAATAAAATTATTAGAAGTTTGTATGGCATTGTATACTGTGTTTAACAGACATTTATAATGAAAAGGTTTTTGTGATGGCAAGTATGAAACTAAAAACGCGTTTTTGACATGAAACTGTTCTTTTGGCTTACTGTAAATATGAAAACAGCAATTGCAGCTTACACATAAAAAAAACTCATATTTGATGCAAAAAACTAAATATTTTGTGATATTTGAATATTAATACGTAATCAAGGACACTATTTTGATATTTCATACCACATCATATTACAAAACTAAACTGCTTTATACCAATAAAGATCTATAAGATGCCTGTAAAAATATTAATTTACTGCAATCGACAATCTAAATAAAATTGTTCAATATCATTGTGCTTGTAAGGTTCAGTGTACATTTCCTACCTGCACAGGGTGATTGACAAGCTGTGATTTAGGTGTGGTGATTTATATGAGAGAAAAATTGTATATAATTTATGATCTTGAGCCGGTTGTACTCTACGAGATTCTTTCTATTTTGGGTTTTGAAAAATATTATTATAAGACAAGGAAAGTGAGCCATGAGTATCTTATATTAAAATGAAAGCCCATTTGAAAAGGTTTGTAAAACACATTTTAAAACATTATTTAGCAAACTTATTAACATTTTTAATTTAATACTTTGGTAAAAATGGTTTTATTATTAGTTTTATTTTGCATTTAGTAGAAAGTATTATATATAATACTTTAATAAAATATTTGAGACTTACTTTTCTTGTATATAAGAAAACGGATGGATAAATGATGTAATCCTTTTCTTGTTAACGGACTATTCTTCTAAATAATTCTTAAGTGTTAACACATTTTTAATTAAAACAAAAGTTTTAAATGAAGGTGCTATAAAGATGATTTCTTTATCTGATGCAATTACACGAGGAAGATAATTAAGATCCTTTACTTTGAAAGTTAAGTAAGGTAATAAAAACTCTAGCTGCTTCAACTAAATCTTTGCCTTTGTAAAACAAATAACGTCCATTTGGTATCAGTAATTCATAAATGTTACAAACATAAAATATAAATATCACATTTTCATATTTGTGTTTCTCATTTGAGTATCTCAGTATTACTACACTAGTAAGGTCATATATTTTTAAACCTAGTAGACCTACTCACATATTAAACTACTATGAAATATTGTTCACTCATTAGGTATTTGTCATTGAAATAGAGCAAGTTAGATAATTTGTTTATATAGTACAAAGGCTTCACAACAGATCGCATTATGTACTTATACTTAATCATTTAAATTAGTTGATCTGTTGTTTACAAATCCAATAGCCCAAAGGAATACTAATAATATTAGTAAATTATATATTATATTACAATATTCGTATAATACTAATATCCCAAAGGAATCGACATTATCTTTCAGTGAAGTAAAAGTGCAACTCACACCTAATGCATCCACAAAACTTCATTGCTTATTCTTGAAAAGAATAGGATAAGATTTTAAACAACCCTTATGAATTTATTGATAGCATGGGATTGCTACTTATGTGTTACTGACAGGTTACACTCTTGATTACAAAAGGAGTAGGCCTACCTATTAGTGTTCCTGGCTATGTATTTGCAGGAGTCACCACCTCCCCTCGTGTACGAAGAAGGTCACTTGGTCTCTGGTACATTGGAGGCTCTGACAGGTTTGCTGTTACCTACCACCAGCTCCTACCCAGACAGAGGTTAACTATCAGTGTTGATGACTATGTATTTGCAGGAGCCAACACCTCCCCTCGTGTACGAGGAAGTTCACTTGGTCTCTGGTACATTGGAGGCTCTGACAGGTTTGCTGGTACCCACCACCAGTTCCTACCCAGACAGAGGTTAACTATTAGTGTTACTGACTATGTATTTGCAGGAGCCAACACCTCCCCTGCTGTACGAGGAAGGTCACTTGGTCTCTGGTACATTGGAGGCTCTGACAGGTTTGCTGGTACCCACCACCAGTTCCTACCCAGACAGAGGTTATCTGTTTGCATTCCTGCTAAGCTCCAGACTCTTTGTTCTTCCTCACGAGCTGCTAACCCAGGTCCTCGCCGCTTGTCACGCTCAGCAAACCAACCTTGACAAACCATCGACTGCCAAAGTAAGTTAAAATTTGATAAATATCAATATTTTTATTATTTTTATTATTTTTGATCAAAATTAGCTTTTGAAGACGCTGTAAGGTAATTTTCTTTTTCCCTGGGCTATAAGAGAAAAAGAACGTTCACAAATATTTAGAAAGTAAATAATAAAGTAATGTAAACATCTTTTGCAGATTAATATAAAAATTCAATTTTAATTTCTTTAATTTTGTGTAGTTTTGATTGACTTAAAAACAACCTGTATTTATACAATTTGCTCTGTTTTGTATGCTAAGTATCTATTTTATGTAAAAATCTATAAAACATAAGCATTAACATCGATTTGATAATTAGAAACCAATAATTCTAAATTGTTGTTAAATCTACAACACTGAAGGTAGCCTAAAACAATGAATCCCAAAACGTTTTGAAAAAATTTAACAGCTGTAGTAAAATGTTTTTACCAAACTACGATGTTTTTAGCCGTTTTAAAAACGTGAATTGATGGCTGAAATCTACGTATTGCTGTCCATGCCAGCTGGCATCGTCATTGGGGGACCTAGAAGGTTTTTGCGGCCATAGGGCCGAAAATAAAATGTTCGCTTATTTACTTAAAACATTAATGTATATTTTTTACACAAGATATATCCATATGCATTGCAATAGACTTGTTTTATCGTCACGGTTGACTGGCAACCATTTATTATAATATGTATTATCTACAAGCAGAGTACCCGTCCTTCGTACGGGGTTGGCATAGAAGTATAAAATGCTTATTGCAGTTGTACTCAAGCTCTGCGTTTGCAATGAGGGGGGACACAGTTTAATAAAATTTGCTTCTTTAAATTTACAGTATTTTATAGTATTACACATTTTGCATAGCCATAATTTTCTACCACTTCACCTGAACAATAGAAAAAAATTTATTATAAACATTTCGCAAAATATCACAAATTATTCATGAAATTAAAAACATAAACATAACTGTAAACAATCCTACATTGACAGTTAGTTTTCATTGCCTATCACGGTTTTTTGTTGTTGCTTTGTTCAAATTAGCTTTTTCATAAATGCAAAAAATATAGTGCTGCACCCTGTTGGTAAATCTTATAACTTTTTAATGCTTTTGCATATCATAGAACCAACTTTTTTAGTGGAAAAAGCTGACTGAATTTTTTTAATTCATTTTAAACATGAACACTCATAAGGTTAAAATGGGGAACTAAAGAGCCACTGGGGCGGAGTTCGAGGATTTTTGAGATAAGAATATGCCTATATGTTAATCGGGAATGTGAGCTATCATCATGCCCAATTTCAGCCCAATCCGTCCAGTGATTAATGCGTGATTGAACTTCAAACAAACAAACACACAAACTTTCACATTTATAATATTAGTAAGATAAGATTATACTGATTCCTTTAAATATTTCTTCACATACCAGGTAACCTTAAATTTGCAGTTGTGTTGACTGTTACTGTGCATATTATATTTTCTCAATTCAGCATAGTGGGGCAAAAAATTGCATTCTTACCAAAGGTCGAAAGGGGTTTGCAGCTCTCGATCGTTTAAAGTTCTCAACTTCGTCTCGAACATAAAAAAATATCTCGAGCCACAAAACCTGATTTTCGGCCCTAGTTAAGAAACTTACTATTGCAGCAGGATTGATCGGTGAAAAAGTGAATTTATCTGGCCTGAGATTGCACTGATCATATCACTAACATTGCTATGAGGTAATTAATTAAAAGTTATTGCTAACAATCCTATCACTCCATCGACGTATTTCATTGAAACTAATAAAACAGGTCAGGATGAGAAAGATTTCAATCATTACTATGGAATTTCATACAATACGATTTTAGAGAAAGATAATATTTTATTTATGATTTCAAAGCTTTAGTTACCAAAGCCAGGATGCAGATAATGATCACCTCGTCAGATATCGGTTGCTTTTGTCTATTATACCAAAGGTTTGCGGTGAGCTGAATTTTATTAGAAATTCAATTTAAAAAGATTTGCTCACACGAATTTGTTGCTTACACATATTTTACTTACATTATAATAAGAACAGCAAAAGGTTTCAAGCACATAATATGTAAATGTAAATAAAGTGTTACACTGCTCAAGTGAGGAAATGGGTATAAAGTTTGCTGAATTCTCATCTCACCACCACACCATATCAGTGTTTTATCGCAGTTTTATTGTTTTTAGCTCGAGAAAATAGCCATTTACGGTGTTAAGGGATTTCCAAAGTCATAAAAGTGTAAAGATAAGAAATGCGATTCTATTAGATTCAATAGTAGTCTTGATATATCTTATAGAGTCAAACGTATTTTTGTGTGTGTATTCATTTAAAACTCATTTATACGTAAAAACTAAACCATTGATTTGTTAAGTTAGTTCACGGTGTAACGAGCTATTTTCCCTAGGGGGGTATATTTTTGCTATTTGGCCGCGCACCGATTGTTGAGGTGAGCTAGCGGCGGCGGCGAAGCTAGCGAGCGCCCTTTGACCCGGCGTATCAGTGCCGATAAGCCTGGGATATCCTAGATGTTCAGGATAGCCTAGGACGGTCATTCTAGTCGTGGATCCCGTGCAGTGAAGAGGCGAGTGTTTGTGTCTAGTGAGACGTCCAGTGATTTGGGTGACATCGGTGTCGTCGTGGTTGGTGTTGTGTAAGGTGACAGTGAGTGTCGGCGTTCAAGTTGGGTGTTGTGACCCACTTGTGGTGAGTGGACGACTTGATATTATTCGTTTGATAATATTAATATCTGGTTTTATTGCGAGAGTTAGAGTTGTAACCGTGCTGGTCAAAGCCTGACGGTAGTTAGGATTTATATTAGTCAGGAATAATATTAAAGTGTATTCCTGACGGTTCTGGGCAGGTGCTAGAGCGCAAATAATATAATTTAATTGACTGTAGTAGATATTATTTTGCGTTGTACCGAGAGTTAGTTATATTACTAATAACTGTAAGGCCCGACAAACCTAGGCTGCACGATTTGGCGTGCGTAGTTGGAAGCACGAGGCCAGTAGGCTAGTAGCTAGTTTTATTAGCCTATTAACAGAAGCCCGGCTAAGCAATATAACGTTGATATAGTAGCAGTAGTGGTAGTAGCAGTAGGGTTGGTATTGATTAATCATTTAATTATTTTAATTTAACCTGAACAGCTTGCTTAGTAATCCAACACGTTAGCTTGGTAGCTTGGATAGCGGAGTACCGGCTATCAGATAATATATTTATCTAGCGTTTGGAACGTATTTAATATTTATTTATCCGCTACTAAGTAGCTCAATATTTTAATAGTGCAATTGCCATTTAGTTTTGCTTGTTTGGCTTGGTATTTATTGAGACCAGCTACTAGTGGTGTAGTCACTCTACCTATAGTGTACTTGTATATTATTATGTGGTACGATTATTGAGTGAACTGTTTGATTCTTAGCTTGGGCATTAGAGTTGTGTATTGGATTATAGTGGCCTAGTAGACCCCGCCTGGTGATAACACGCGTTGTGGTTTTTATTGGCAAGTCGTCTTGTAACTCACCGTGTTTTAGGCACTCTGGGCTTAACTATGGGATAGTTAGGACGAAGCCCGAGTTGCGTAGTCAGCAACGACCCCCTAGGAGAGTGGAGAATCGGCGTAGGCCTGGTAGTGATTATTGCACGTTTGTTTTGGTGACTTGTTTTTGACTTGTTCACAGTGCCCGTGTATGAGCCAGTCCTATACCGGTTAGACCCGGCTTTTGGCCTAGTGGTTTCCCTGACCTTGTCGCAGACCCTGGAATTTTACCCAGCCATTGTAGGCTGAGCTATCCCCGGCAAACGGTTGCGACTGCACTTTTAATATTTATTTTCCCAGTGCAGAAACTTTCGTCGCAAGATGGCGCCTGCGAACAGGGACTGAGGTTGGCAGTGGTGCTGAGTTGCTGACGTATTAACGGCGCCCGAACAAAATAATTTTATTTGTTCAGATTTGCTGCGGACTTGTGCAGATTGGCTGCGGACCTGAGCTGTTGAGCAGAGTTTTAGGCAGACCTGCTGTGATTTTATAGTCGGTTGGGTAGGCCTAACCTGTTTTCTGTTACAGCGTGGTGTGTTGTGAACCCTAATTTATTTAGTGGTTGTATACATAGATATTAGTTAGTAATATTATTTTACTAATTAATTGAGCTTTAGTGTTGAATATTATTTGAGTGAGAACCCTTACTGTGCATTTGTGGTTTGACTTTCACGCCTATAATTGGTTTGATTTAATAGTACGGTGTTAAATAGATTTTAATTGGTTACGCCCTTATTTTTCCGGATTTGTCGTGGTGTTTTGAATTTTAAATATGGTTGTCACTACGAGTACGACGTCTGTGCTGGGCGGTACGCCTATTACGTCTGCTATTACTACGACTAGTTCTGGGGTTAGCTCCGAACTGTCGGTGATGACGACATCGTCATTGTGGCCGGCCTCTTCGCTCGTTTGGCCGACTATTTCATCGGTCGTGGCTACGACGGTGACAACTTCTTTGACCTATTCCGCGCCAGCGACAATGTCCTTGGGGTCGCAGCCCCGGGACGGTCGCGTGGGTTGGATCTATGACCTCTCGAAAGGGGAGCTCATGAGAACGATGGACCAGTATGGTTTGGTGACCACTGGGACTTCTGCGGAATTACGGCAGAGATTTTCATCGTTTTGGAAGCAGCGGAATGCCCGTCGGTACAGCGATGATAGGCTGTGTACGGCTGGGGCTGCTGCACCGACATATGTACCGCCAGCTACTACAACTGAGGAGCTTCCTGACCCCCCGAGAACCGTACCTCAGGTACTGGGTAATACGGAATCTGACCAAGCCGAGGTAGTGGGAATTAGCAGGGAGTTAGAGGCGGTCAAAGAGATTCTTGGGTTGTCTTTGGAGACTGATACCCGGACTCTTCGAGAACAACTTGCATTGGTGGTGCGGCAGGCGAGGGGCTCGCCGAGTAATGGGGTCGGCTATGGGTTCGAAAGACCCGCCAACCCTATGTCCCCCGCTGTGGCTGCTCCCATGCCTACCTTTGGGTTACCAAGTAAACCCCAGGGATGGCAGCGACCTTGTGATCATTCGGAGAGACCAGTCCGTCCTTCTAGCGTGGAGGTGCCACGTGGATCGGATATACTCTCGAATGAGGCCAGCAGGATGGAGCCGAAGGACTGCTCCAAAGTATGTGACATGGTCCGAAAGTGGGGTTTGAAGTTTGATGGACGTAGAGACCCTGTGTCATTCCTGGAGCGTCTTGAAGAGCTGATGGTCTCGTACTCTATAAAATCAGAGGACCTGCTCAGAGCGCTGCCGGAGCTGTTGCAAGGCTCAGCGCTTCTATGGTACAGGAATTGCAAGGAGCTCCTGTATTCATTCGAAGCTTTTCGGCATCAATTTGAGATCCAGTTCCTTCCACCTGGTTATCAGAGGAATTTGGATGAGGAGATCCGGAAAAGGACACAGGGTGAAGGCGAGCACTTCCGGGACTACGTTGTTGCCATAAGTACCTTGCTTAGGCGTAGCGGTACGTTGTCCGAGCATGGTAGATTGGACTTGATCTACAACAACATGCGACCCGAGTACAAGCTGATGGTACGCCGGCGTGATTTCAGCAACCTGGCCGAGATGGTGGAGTTGGCTGAAGAATACGAGGCCTATCTGCGGGAGAAGGTGGCCTTCCGACCTCCTCCTTCACCCAACGTAGTGCTGGTTTTAGAAACCGCCTATGTTCCCAAGAAGAAGGTTGAGAAGTGTTTTGAAACGGCCGCGGTTGAAAAACATAATTTTCAGAGACCATCTCTTGAGGCTAAGTCGATTGGGCAGCGAGTAGATTTTGACTCTAACCGGGTCCGTGAACAAAGGCCCGTAATGACTAGGGAAGTTGCAGATGGTGCAAAGGATGTACGTTGTTTTAGGTGCCAGGAGATTGGTCACTTTGCCTGAGAATGTGGTAAACCAAGGACCGTCTCCTGTTATGGGTGTGGCGAACCTGGTTTGACGGTGAGTCAGTGTGGATGTCGGGCGGGAAACGGCAGGCCAGCTCAGGCATCCGGAGGTCAACTGGGCAAGGCCACCGAAAACGAACGACCTCAGAAGAGTGGTCCGAGTGGCTCGGAAAACTAAACAGCCTGGTTGGTGGAGTAGACGAGGACCGGCTGATTTCAGAGACAAGGCCCTTTGTTGAAGTTGTGCTGATGGGCAGCGTTTTTGTGGCGTTACTGGACACTGGGTCCGTCGTCAACTTGGTTGGGCGAGGAGTCGCCGAACATCTTCAACGCCAGGGGATAGAGCCTTGTAAGATTACCGCTCCTCTGAGGATGGCAGATGGGACATGGTCGAAGGCTGAGTATTCGTTTCGGCTAGCAGGAGAAGCTGCGGGAAGACGGTGGATGGGAGATGCCTTGTACGTCCCCACTCTCACCACAGACATGATTCTGGGTATGGATGTCATCCGAGACCTCGGATTGGTGACATGTGGGACAGAGGTAGTAAGAATGGGTGTGGGTGATGACTGTTCTGGTCAAGGTGGCCGCATAGACAGTGTCAAAATTGGTGACGAAGACCCCGAAGGCCCTTGCAATGGAAATCCCCGTCTGGTTCCTGATGCCAAATCTTTCAGTACCATGTTGGCTGGTAGTGGCTAGTAGAAGAGTTTTTCTTTGTTTTGAGTTTGAGACCTGTGGTGTAGGGTTCACCATTGGGTTAGGGGTTGGAGTATTTTGTTTTGGCCGGAGTTCAAAGATTTTTTTTCTTTTTGGCCGTTTTCTTTTTTTTTATCCCGATGTAAGTAGGGGGTGTAACGAGCTATTTTCCCTAGGGGGGTATATTTTTGCTATTTGGCCGCGCACCGATTGTTGAGGTGAGCTAGCGGCGGCGGCGAAGCTAGCGAGCGCCCTTTGACCCGGCGTATCAGTGCCGATAAGCCTGGGATATCCTAGATGTTCAGGATAGCCTAGGACGGTCATTCTAGTCATGGATCCCGTGCAGTGAAGAGGCGAGTGTTTGTGTCTAGTGAGACGTCCAGTGATTTGGGTGACATCGGTGTCGTCGTGGTTGGTGTTGTGTAAGGTGACAGTGAGTGTCGGCGTTCAAGTTGGGTGTTGTGACCCACTTGTGGTGAGTGGACGACTTGATATTATTCGTTTGATAATATTAATATCTGGTTTTATTGCGAGAGTTAGAGTTGTAACCGTGCTGGTCAAAGCCTGACGGTAGTTAGGATTTATATTAGTCAGGAATAATATTAAAGTGTATTCCTGACGGTTCTGGGCAGGTGCTAGAGCGCAAATAATATAATTTAATTGACTGTAGTAGATATTATTTTGCGTTGTACCGAGAGTTAGTTATATTACTAATAACTGTAAGGCCCGACAAACCTAGGCTGCACGATTTGGCGTGCGTAGTTGGAAGCACGAGGCCAGTAGGCTAGTAGCTAGTTTTATTAGCCTATTAACAGAAGCCCGGCTAAGCAATATAACGTTGATATAGTAGCAGTAGTGGTAGTAGCAGTAGGGTTGGTATTGATTAATCATTTAATTATTTTAATTTAACCTGAACAGCTTGCTTAGTAATCCAACACGTTAGCTTGGTAGCTTGGATAGCGGAGTACCGGCTATCAGATAATATATTTATCTAGCGTTTGGAACGTATTTAATATTTATTTATCCGCTACTAAGTAGCTCAATATTTTAATAGTGCAATTGCCATTTAGTTTTGCTTGTTTGGCTTGGTATTTATTGAGACCAGCTACTAGTGGTGTAGTCACTCTACCTATAGTGTACTTGTATATTATTATGTGGTACGATTATTGAGTGAACTGTTTGATTCTTAGCTTGGGCATTAGAGTTGTGTATTGGATTATAGTGGCCTAGTAGACCCCGCCTGGTGATAACACGCGTTGTGGTTTTTATTGGCAAGTCGTCGTGTAACTCACCGTGTTTTAGGCACTCTGGGCTTAACTATGGGATAGTTAGGACGAAGCCCGAGTTGCGTAGTCAGCAACGACCCCCTAGGAGAGTGGAGAATCGGCGTAGGCCTGGTAGTGATTATTGCACGTTTGTTTTGGTGACTTGTTTTTGACTTGTTCACAGTGCCCGTGTATGAGCCAGTCCTATACCGGTTAGACCCGGCTTTTGGCCTAGTGGTTTCTCTGACCTTGTCGCAGACCCTGGAATTTTACCCAGCCATTGTAGGCTGAGCTATCCCCGGCAAACGGTTGCGACTGCACTTTTAATATTTTTTTTTCCAGTGCAGAAAGGAGCGTCGCAACTTTATAAAAGATGTTTAACTTTGAGACACACATGTTTACTTATCTTAACACCTTTGGCATTTTTAAGGAACGCTTTAAACCCTGGAAATTTATCCAAGATCTAAATTTGCATGTATTGTGTCATGAACCTTATTAATTATCCTTTAAGCCTGTCTTTGATATTTTTAAATTAACTGTGTTTTGTTGTTTTACCATATGTTAAATACTTTTAATGTATTTCTAAAGAGTTAGTCATGTCTTTGGAATGAATAAAGAAGCCTACGTAAAATTATTATGCTATTTTGTTTTGCTAATTATTTCAAAAATAAAAAAATAAACAGATTGTGTCATTAGACATATAAATTACAGATGACATTTAAGACAGTGGATACCTACTTAGTACTAAACAAATTCTGTAAATCTGAAGGCACGCACTATTACCTTAAGCTACCCTGACAAATTAATGTTTGATATGGAGTTTTAACTTAAAAATATATTTAAAAGTTTGTTAATATCATAATACGTGTATGTAAAGTTGTAAGAATGTTTTAACTCATTTAAAGGAGCGACTGGAGCGAATCATGCCACCGATGGTGAAACTGCTGGAAGAGTGGACGGACATGTTCCCCTACGACTTCCGCGACGAGGCGATGACGGCGGCAGTCCGCGGCATCACCCAGGGCTGCGACTGTGTCCCCTGGGTCTGTGACGATGTGTCGCGACTGCTGCAGACTCTACTGGCCAGACTAGCCAAGCTGGACAAGTTCGAACACCAGCTGACCGCACAAGACACCGGCCGCCCCGTCCACGACCGCATCAAGCTACCCGCGGTAATTATCTTTGTATCTTAAAATTTCCTTTTACAATTAATAGCTATTTAGTAATTTTAGGCATTTATGTTGAGTTAATACAACATTTTCTTGGTTGTAAGCAACGAATTGCCTGTAACAGTTTGATGTTTTCAGAGGAAATGAGAAATAACGGGAAGTTACGTAAGGTGATTAATATATTTCTGGGAATTAAAAGTAAATTTAGATATGATGAATCAAGTTGAAATCATAATGAAGTTTTCTTACCAGACACTAAGCTAAAAATCAATATAAAATTATCCATAAGTAACTACTTTTTATACAGTAGATTAACTGCTATATTGTAGGACAATGAATTTCACAGTTATCTGATTACTGATTTGCAGTTTTAACTGAACATAGCAAGTATTCCTATTCTCTTATGTGAATTGAAATAGTTATTAGTATTACAGATTTCAAAATGGTGGCATTTAAATACGTTTAAACGCCACTCTGGTCAACGATGTCATTTGCAGAACGTTAATTACTGAGCTAAAATACTGTTGCCCCAGGAAATTCAATGTAATATGGGCTGAAATATTCCATAATATATCTTAAAAACACATATTATGTCAAGTGCATTATACATCCTGAAGCTTAACATGAAACAGTTATATTTGTTACGTTTAATTTATATTACCTATTAATAATTGTTTGTTTATACCAAACCTTCAAGGAACGCCATTGGTTAGGAGAACAATGATGTTGACATTCTGTTAGAGAACACCAAAACATATCATGAAACTGTTTATAAGTCGTTTGTGTCTTTAGACGCTTTAATTACGATATTGTTAGATCAAACTAAATTAATAACCCCTTGGTTAACATTATCAAAAAACATACTATTCCTTAATGCTTCTTATGAATGCCAAGATTTTGAGCATATTGGGTTCAGATGGAATAGGATGAAAAATGAATAAGTGATATTTCTTTAAATGATGCACTATATTCTCAAAACTCTCTGCACTGTTCCAAAACTAATTTATTATCCTCAAAAATAGATAATCTGTAGTCTGTTCATGAACCGACAAATCCATAGATGGTTAAAAAATCGGCAGTTATAAATGACCTTGTCTTCACTGCTATCACCACGAACATGGCCATGTTACTTTAACTGTGATAGTAATACACCTTTGTGGATCATCGCAGAGACTAGTTTAAAGTTTCTTTTATAATGAAAGAAGCTGCATATAACAACAGATTTAAATGTTATAATTTCGTTTTCGAACTCTTTGACGTTGGTGTAAGTCATACGTATGACCGGAGGAGTTTGTTCTAGGATGCTTGACGTCTCTCATCCTATACAACAGCTGTGTCAAAGCAATGTTTGTTCTCAGACAGATGCAGCAGAAGTCTGTCGCTCTCCCTCGATGTTGGCTCAGCAGCTGACGGCCGTAGAGTTAGAGAGAATGTCGTACATAGGACCGGAGGAGTTTGTTCTAGGATACATGCTTGACGTCTCTCATCCTCTACAACAGCTGTGTCAAAGCAATGTTGGTTCTCAGACAGATGCAGCAGAAAACTGTCGCTCACCCTCGATGTTGGCTCAGCAGCTGACTGCCGTAGAGTTAGAGAGAATGTCGTATATAGGACCGGAGGAGTTTGTTCTAGGATACATGCTTGACGTCTCTCATCCTCTACAACAGCTGTGTCAAAGCAATGTTGGTTCTCAGACAGATGCAGCAGAAAACTGTCGCTCACCCTCGATGTTGGCTCAGCAGCTGACTGCCGTAGAGTTAGAGAGAATGTCGTACATAGGACCGGAGGAGTTTGTTCTAGGATACATGCTTGACGTCTCTCATCCTATACAACAGCTGTGTCAAAGCAATGTTTGTTCTCAGACAGATGCAGCAGAGGTCTGTCGCTCACCCTCGATGTTGGCTCAGCAGCTGACTGCCGTAGAGTTAGAGAGAATGTCGTACATAGGACCGGAGGAGTTTGTTCTAGGATACATGCTTGACGTCTCTCATCCTCTACAACAGCTGTGTCAAAGCAATGTTGGTTCTCAGACAGATGCAGCAGAAAACTGTCGCTCACCCTCGATGTTGGCTCAGCAGCTGACTGCCGTAGAGTTAGAGAGAATGTCGTATATAGGACCGGAGGAGTTTGTTCTAGGATACATGCTTGACGTCTCTCATCCTCTACAACAGCTGTGTCAAAGCAATGTTGGTTCTCAGACAGATGCAGCAGAAAACTGTCGCTCACCCTCGATGTTGGCTCAGCAGCTGACTGCCGTAGAGTTAGAGAGAATGTCGTACATAGGACCGGAGGAGTTTGTTCTAGGATACATGCTTGACGTCTCTCATCCTATACAACAGCTGTGTCAAAGCAATGTTTGTTCTCAGACAGATGCAGCAGAAGTCTGCCGCTCTCCCTCGATGTTGGCTCAGCAGCTGACGGCCGTAGAGTTAGAGAGAATGTCGTACATAGGACCGGAGGAGTTTGTTCTAGGATACATGCTTGACGTCTCTCATCCTCTACAACAGCTGTGTCAAAGCAATGTTGGTTCTCAGACAGATGCAGCAGAAAACTGTCGCTCACCCTCGATGTTGGCTCAGCAGCTGACTGCCGTAGAGTTAGAGAGAATGTCGTACATAGGACCGGAGGAGTTTGTTCTAGGATACATGCTTGACGTCTCTCATCCTATACAACAGCTGTGTCAAAGCAATGTTTGTTCTCAGACAGATGCAGCAGAGGTCTGTCGCTCACCCTCGATGTTGGCTCAGCAGCTGACTGCCGTAGAGTTAGAGAGAATGTCGTACATAGGACCGGAGGAGTTTGTTCTAGGATACATGCTTGACGTCTCTCATCCTCTACAACAGCTGTGTCAAAGCAATGTTGGTTCTCAGACAGATGCAGCAGAAAACTGTCGCTCACCCTCGATGTTGGCTCAGCAGCTGACTGCCGTAGAGTTAGAGAGAATGTCGTATATAGGACCGGAGGAGTTTGTTCTAGGATACATGCTTGACGTCTCTCATCCTCTACAACAGCTGTGTCAAAGCAATGTTGGTTCTCAGACAGATGCAGCAGAAAACTGTCGCTCACCCTCGATGTTGGCTCAGCAGCTGACTGCCGTAGAGTTAGAGAGAATGTCGTACATAGGACCGGAGGAGTTTGTTCTAGGATACATGCTTGACGTCTCTCATCCTATACAACAGCTGTGTCAAAGCAATGTTTGTTCTCAGACAGATGCAGCAGAAGTCTGCCGCTCTCCCTCGATGTTGGCTCAGCAGCTGACGGCCGTAGAGTTAGAGAGAATGTCGTATATAGGACCGGAGGAGTTTGTTCTAGGATACATGCTTGACATCTCTCATCCTCTACACATTACCAACACCAGCAACCTTGAGGCCTACATCTCTTGGTCTTCTCGCCTCAGCTATCTGGTGGCGACTGAAATATGCAAGGTTTGAATATGTTCATGTTGTTAAAATAAAATTAAACAGAAATATTGCCACCTTAAAGTTTGTTATGTCATATTTAATTAAATAACCTATTAAAAACTAACTTAGTGGCCAATAGATTTGAATAAGTTCCTGAAAAGTCAAAAGTAAACAACATCTTCAATCTACCTTGCTTACAACTATAGTGGTGAACATTTAAGGTATTCTTTGTAATTTTTGAGGCAATTTAATCGAAGGGAAAATATAATTAGTAAATACTTATTAATAATCTTGATTTGCTAAGATTTCTTCAAGTTTTGTTAATCTGTCAAGTCCTAGACACAAGAAACTTCTTTCAGTTAACGTTTTTCACATATGTAAGGAAATGACTTCTTGATATATTTTAATAACAAAATGACCATTGTCCATTGAATATAATTTGTTCACCGTAATTAACAAACTATAAAAATACAATAAAACCATCATGTATACTGTATAATTAACTATCTTCGTAGTAGATAAATAGGTAGCCGTATAAAATATATGAAGTGTGCATAGTTATAACTGCCACAAATACATACTAATGGAAATAATTAACACTTTCTTATGTAGTATAGAATATAGAATACAAACCATTTTCCAGTACTCAATGAAAAAGCAGCGGGTGAAAATGACCGAGTTCTGGGTGGAAGCTGCCAAGGAGTGTTTCAACATCGGGAACTTCAACTCTCTTGCTGCCATTTTAGGAGGACTAAACATGGCCCCCGTCTCAAGACTGTCTAAAACGGTAACTTAATTATGATAAATAGAATGCCTACGTTGTATGATTCAATAAAACGTGTATACCATCTAAAACTTGTACATAGTGTTGCCTTGATCAAACTAAATACTAGGATTACTTTCATAGCAATGAAAGCCAGTTCAGTGGAATGATCAAGTCAGTTTCATGGTTTTTAATGAAGCAATAAATAGATAAAACTTTTATATGTATGATACAAAATACAAATATTTCATAAATGTAACTTCATAAGTGAAACTATCAACATCTATAACAAGTTTCATTAGAAAATGTGTGGAAATTGCATACATGTCTTGTGTATCGGCATTTTTACCTGTGTTTGCTTGCTAATGTCATCTGGTTTTGGTTGAACTCAACCTTGAACCTAAACCAATTTAAATTGTATCAATCTTGGCCAAATTTTTCAGCTCAGGCAGAAATAATCCTTTATGTATCCATACGATTAGCAGATGTAACTTTTTAAAGATTTGCCTGCTTTGAGAGAATTGCACAAATAGTTATCAACAAACCTTATAAGGTTTGTTTTCTTACATTTTGTACATTTTAATTATAAAAATATGTTTTCAAGCAAGTGCTCTACATACAAATATCTCGAAACATGCTAGAAGTAGTTGTTCATGCGTTTCAGACGTTTCTTGCTCGTCTTCATTTTATACAAATATCAGGCAGTTTTTGAGAATGCATTCTGCAATTTCCCTTAATATGACACTCTTATGCGAATTAGATATATTCTTATAAAACAAAAACGCAAAAAATTATTTAACCTTCTTGGGCAATAATATACCCCTAGTCTTTGCCAACCCAATAACAATCAATACAACGACAATCGTGTATTGCCAACACGATGATATCATCAAACATATTTTAAAGTAAATAATAAGAAAGCGTGTTTATAATAGCCTATTAAGAAAAAAATTTTGATTTGAGAATACCTAGTTATTTAAAAC